GGTGATCTTTCCGTTCGAAACTCTTCGAACCACACTATCTCAATATAAGACAAGGAGTATGTATTGCATAAATAAATAAACTGCAAACATATATACTTTGACTGAAACATGATTGCCAGATCAAAATGGAATTGATAGAAACTGCAAAACATAGCTTTTACAGCATACCTCTAACAAGAAGGTCGGGCGAACGGGACTCACGCGCAGCGGACGAGACCTCATGCCTCGAGGCATGCGGACAGACGGGGCTGCACGCGCGCGATAAGGCGGCCGAGGACGGGAGTGCGCGCAAAGCGCGCGAGGGAGCGGACGCGTGGGCCTAGTCCTCGCGGGCTTATGCAAGCCGATAAGGCGGCGCGCTAGCGGCGGTGTGAGGGGCGTGCGCGAGAGAGAGGTTTGAGGCGGTTGGAAGACTTGGTGTGCAAGCCAAGTTATTTGGTTCCCTTATTATATTATGAGATCTAGATTAATTAGGATACTTAATATTTTATTTCTTATTTAGTTTCCTAGGTAGATTAGACTTAGACCAATCTTGTGCCTATATAAAGGCCTTTTCCCCTATGTTATTTTTCATCATTCAAGAATCAATAGAAATTCAGAACTTTGTTCTTCCACTTTGCTTTAGTCTTTCACCAAAATACTATAGCAATGTTATTCGTTTCAATAGGCGCGGTTGTGGCTAGAGAAACACTATCGACGATTCAAGGCATGGGTTAGCGGCTTATCAGCAATCGAAACACACGATCCTCATCACACTGTTGGCTGACGGCCTACGCGTGTGTTGCGAGGCAGCTGGGCGCTGCCTATGCTCGCTAAGCATTGTGGCACTGCACGCGGGCGAGTCCGACGAGGAAGGTGACGATGGTCTCAATATCTGGCTGAAGAACATGTTGGAAGAGCCATCAAGCCCGATATATCGACCGTCATGCAAGAGAGACTGGCCGAGAGGATGTGGTCCACGGGCTAAGTTGAAGGTTAAGAAGCACCGGGCCAAAAGACGACGCAAAACAAAGGCGCAAAAGGCAAGCCAATGTTGTCGGCCGTGCACTAGGAAGAAACGGGCGTGGCATTTAGAGTTTCGAAGACGTAGAAGGCTAGGAATGGAAGATGGTTGGATATGGCGTGCAGGTGACTGCATTGGGTTGGATGGTTGAGACCCATGGCCATCGAGAGAACCAATGGAATCGGGGGACAAAGGGATCGATGAGGACCGGCTATCGGGCGTATGGCGTGCATCGTGCCATGATGCGCGCAAAGGGTTGAAAGGTCGAGGCGTTGAACGGAGGAGCGGCGCCGAGAAGTTGGATGCAAGTGACGCACGCGGGTGCGCGGTAAGCGAGCAGGCCACGAGGACTGGCGACACGCGAGGAGCAGAGGGTGTACCCAGGTGCGCGGTAGGTGATCGGGACATGGGCGTCGATGGTACGCGCGAGCGAGCAGGCGAGCGCGAGAAGGATGCGGGGGTGTAACACCCCGCCTTATCGTGAAATAAGAGTGCGTAATTTCGCAAAGTCTTTTAAAAATAAAATCTTTTACTTTGCGAAAACTAATTCGGGGTGCTACCGTAAAATGTGACTTATTCGGACAAAATCGTTACTTTAATTTTTAGCAAAATCTACGGTTTACTGAAAGCATTATTTATCCGATCGTCAGATCAAAAGATAAGTTCGTCAAAACGTCAAAATCAGCGGAAACGTAGCATCATCAAAATATATACAATCACATGCATAAAAGTCCTGATACATCCGTCATCTCACACCTCCGGCCCGACATCCTGACCTGAAAAACATGAAATAAGTGGGTTGTGAGCACTATAACACTGTGCTCCGTGGAAACTCATACTAAAGTAAACAGTGAATATAATAACAATATCATGATCCTGGTATATACATAACCAGAACATGAAACCGGTAATAACATGAACATGAATCTGATATCATCACGTGAACGTGAACCATGACCGTTACCTCATCTGCCAGCGTAAAAATGCCGGACACTATGTGCACACTCTAGTGGGCAGACCAGGCCACTAGAACCCAGAATGGACCGGCGACCATTCCGAGCGGATACATGACATGAAATACATACCTCAAACATGGTACCGTAATTATAATCAATGTAGTACTTAGTC